GACCACAAGCAAGCTTCACACTGTTCAATAGAGCTCATACAGATGTAAAGCTTGTAGAAAAATATTTAGCATGAAGAAAAGCTCAATAATGTGAACCATTGCATTTATGTATTGTTGGAGGGTCTTCAGAGGTCAAGGCAACCCTTAAGACACTGTATGTAATTTCTCCAACCTTTTACCAGTCTTGAAAACACAAACTACAGTATTTACTCATCTTTTGTACCAAGTAGAGATTATGCTTCTCTGAACTGATAAATTTAGTGAATGCCTGGGTATTTTTATTTCTTTCTTTCTAGTAGACTGGAAGAACTTTTGAAGATTAAAATATAATTGAAGACCTTCCCTAGATGAAAACAAAACAAAACAAAACAAAAACACAGCAACCTCGGGCCTCATCTAAGAAGCAGCATTGTTCATCTTGAATAGAAAGACCTGTTAGAAAAGCAAAAGGGATTGTTTCACCTCCTGAGAGGAGGAAGTTACCCAGTTATGAGATGACTTAAGGGAAATCCAGGAGAAGGCACATATGAGGAAACTAGCAAAATTTGTGATTTGCTTTTCTGTAAATAATATTCATTTTTTATTTCTTCTTTCAGCACTCTTTAATCTTCTACTACTCTCTCCATTCCTACAAGATGAAATATGATGGGCTTTCACCTATCAATGAGGAACTTCATGAAAAATACTAATTTTTTATTGAACTAGTGATTACATAATTGATTGCCACTTTCAAGAGAATTTTCTTAAAGAAATAAATAATAAATAAGTAAATAAATAATAAATGAAAATTAACTTAAAGTAGAACACTCCAGGGACCCTCTATGAGAACAAATATTTCCGTTATATACCTTGGACCATTTAGAAATTCCTCAATTCATACCTTACAGGTTATAGTCTCACAGTATAATGTCAATATTACTATTGGACAAGTTGTGACCTAAAGAAAAGGAGAGGGTCGTGGTGAAACTCTGGAGCAGAGCCAGAAGAAATTTTAGACTAGAGAGTTTATCTGATATTATTTAGCTATGTGCATATTTTTAACAGATGCTATCATACTCCTAGAAAGAAAAGTAAATATAAGAAGATTTCATTCTTACAACTCATTTCTAGAATTCATCACAATACTTGCAGATTAATAGAGCAATGCAAGTAATCCTGCTTATAGTATATTCACACAATACTGTAAATTTCCCCAAAACAAGAAGTTATCAATCTATGCAACACATATGGGAGCTCAGCAGTTATTTGTTGTATTAATAATGACTCCTTCACCAAGAGTGAGATGACTCATAGAAAGCTGTCCACAGGAGGGCACTCTTGAGCCAGGCCAGAGCAGCATTTGTGGCTGTGGTGTCACAACCTATAGTCTTAAAAAAGGTGGACTTCATTGTCAGAGAGACACTAAAGTTCTAAACATGACAAGTTATTTAGTCCTTTTGTGTTTGGGCTTCTTTCACTGTGGACTTAGGACAACATCACCTTTCTTTCAAAATTGGAGCAATCAATGGTTTAAATACTGTAATAGCATGGTGTATAGCTCATAGTTGACTTTCAGTGCATGACAGCTCTTGAGAACGGATAATTTTCATACAATGTAGTAGGCACATGGAGTGGATATGCCAAGACAGTTATTTTTATAAGAGACCAGGAACTGTTGTATCTATATTTTTAAGGCTGAGGAGAAGAAAATGTTTAACAAACACTTGGACAATTCAAACTAATTTAACTTTAGCAACTGATTGTTTAGAGCACACTGTGTACTAAGCAGTGTTCTAACCACTAGGGGTTCAACAGGGAACAAACCCAAAAACCCTTGCTATTCTGTGTTTACTATCTGGTGGGGACACAAAATGAATATATAAAACACATACAGATCAAATATCAATAGCATCATGGAACATCATGAGGAAGAAAAAGGATAGAGAATTCCAAGGTAGGAAAAGTTTATGACTTTTAGTAGAATGGGAAAACCCATGCTGAAGTAGCCACATTTTGGTAAAGAACTGAGGAAAATGAGTGGGTCTTAGGGATGACATGGGAAAGAGTTAATAACACATGTAAAGGCTTTGCTGTGGACTGAGTTCTGTTCCCCTAGAAATCACATGCTGACTCTAACTTCTCATGTGATTATATCTGGAGAAAGGATGTTTAAGGAAGTATGTAAGAGTAAATGAGCTCACAAGGATGGAACCCATCTCAGTGAACTTTGTCCTCATTAAAAGAGGAAGAAACACTAGCAGTGTACCTGCACAGAGCAAAGGCTACATGAGGTCTTAGAAAAATGTTACTTGCCAGCTAAGATGAGAGACCTCCCCAAAAAGTCCTGCCAGAACCTTCTTCTTGGACTTCCAGCCTTTAGAATTGTGAGAAAACAAACTTCTATTGTTTAAACCACAGAATCTCTGGTATCTTGTCTTGTTTTGTAATCTGCCGAGCAGATCATAACAGGTCCAGAGATTGGAGCACACCAGGGCAGGTGGCCAGTGTGGCTGAAAGAGAGTAAGACAAGGGGCAAGAGATCCAGGCAGGAGAAGTAACAGAGCAGGGGAATGGGAAGGGTGGCAAAGGAAGCAGTGCCTTGTATACATTAAAATGCCTGGATTGACCATGGTCAGCCACTAGACGCATTGAGCCAGGGAGTGATAGGCTCTGGCACAAATGTTCACAGCATCATCTTGGCTGCTGTAAAGATCTAAACTCATGAAATACTTATGTTAATTTGTTAAATAGCTGGTTTTAATAGACTAATAACATACTACAATACATCGTTTTAAGTGGGAAGTAATGGATGAGGCTGGATTGGTAGAACGTCTTGTGCTGAGAGCTTTGTGTGTTCTCAGAATTCAGTCTTTCTTTCTTTTTTTATTTTTTCCAGTATTGGAATTTTAACTTTTGCCTCACACTTGCTAGGCAGGATCTCTACCACTTGAACCATGTCCCAACTCCTCCCCTGCTTTATGGCTTTTAGTTATGTTTTAGACAGAGTCTTGTGCTTTTTGCCTAGGATAGCCTCAGACCATGATTCCTCTACCTATGCCTCCTGTGTAGCTGGGTTACAGGTGAGTGCCACCACAGAATTCAGTCTTTTTGTGTTAGGGTTATAGTAAGTTGTTCTACAGATTGTTATATGTAATAGTGATGTCTTAGAAAAGAGACATAAATTTAAGCATAGGAGCTATTTATTTGATTGAGGAGACAGAAGAACATTTATAAAGACTATTTAATATCTCTTACACAGCATTATATCACAAGAATAAATGCAATAGCCAGTTCTAATAAGTACATATTGTCTATTTTGTCTGATGGATTGAGTCAAATTTGAGGCCATCAATAGACTAGTTGGTCATTTCTCTTATTGTACCAGTCACCTGGTTAAGTCTAAAGGAACTTGCTGCATACCAGTAGGGAAGATCATGTGAATTAATAAAAATGCTTTAGATGAAAATAATATTTTAAAAAAGATTAAGCTAGCAAGCAGATGGCAATGGATCTGATAATCTATTGGATACAAAGAGACAATCTGTACTTAATAATCACAATCAACAACATAAGTAAATCGTAGCAGCTTTGGATAGTACATATCCCTGATGGAGTAACATGGAACCAGAATCATCCTTCCAGAATTTCCAGGAGAAATTCTAGGTATTAGCTATCATTTGAAGCTGGGGAATTGATCTAAATTTATGCATACTTGATTGTCACATTCATGTTCTGCTGTGTGGTCCTGTCTGGAAGGTCAACAGCAGGAATGACTTATTTTAATTATATTTTACTTAAACATATTTTAAACACTTAGCAAATTATTAGGTAGTGACATTGAGTAGCAAATGGTTCTGTATAGCACATAGAATTGGATTGATCTGATTCTTTGGTCATTCAATGAGGGACCTAGGGCAAGTCATCTAATTAATCCCCCCCCAAAATCAGATTCCTCATTTGTAAAATAAGAAAAGGGAGAGCTCCCAATGTCATAGTGTTGATGGGAAGGTGACATGAGATAATACATTTAAAATACTTAGCAAGGACCTTAGCATATAGAAAGTGAGAAATAAATGAGTATTAACTGGGGTGGTAAAAATCAGTTTTTTAACTAGAAATAATGGCTAAACTTCCAAAGGTTCAATGATGTAATGGACTTAGTGCTTAAGGGGTTTCAGAGGTGAGCTCATTAGGTTCACCCTGGGCTTCAAATGAGCTAGTATGTTAGACAGCTATTTGTGGGTGGGAGTGCAGACTCAGTAAGACCCTTTCATCATTTAATGCCTAAATAGGTCTCTTTCACTTTGTAATGAGGAGGCCCTGGTTTATTTCTTATATTTCTCCTGTCCTTGCAGATTGTCTCGTTGCCTTTAAAATGTACATGATATACCAACTAACTTTTATGAAAACATACTCTCTTTTTTGTTGTTGTTTGTTTGGAAAACTCCCATAGCAGAGGAATTTGGTATGAAATAGAAATGTATGAAACTCTTTTCATCTGGATTTCTAGGAGCACCTTGATCAGCATTTGGAAGCACATTTGAGGAAGAAGAATAATTTGAGTGGCTAACATTTATTGGATGTCAGCCACGGTTCTGATGATTTTATATTCCTTTATATCATTTACATCCTTATAAAAACTTCATGACAACATTACCTACCCCAATATGTAGATAGGTGTATAGTGAGCAATACATATAGTCAGTCCTCTCTCTTGATCTTGAGGCACTTTGTCCCATTTCTGTGATTGGGACAGAGTGCTTCATTATATCAAGATCTTGAATTCCATGATTTTAAAAGCAGATATATTCTCAGATATTTTTCTTTTATAAGCAACAGCCTGAGGATTAAACTCTTCCTATTTTCTTCTCTCAATTGTGCGTGTTTCTGTAGCACTCCTGGCACGGGCAGAATCCTCTTCCACTGCTAGTCAGGAGGCAGAAGGCAAAAACTACTTACAGAACCTCACATTTCATTGAGATCCATTTAGTCCTGTAGTGGCTGATAGCTATTTCCATTACCATCTCTTTTAGCAGTTCGGGACTTCTCAGAATAAGGGTGCTCTACTTTGTTCTCTGGATCCTTGCACATTGTTATCAACACAACTACTAACATCCACAGAAACAAATCAAGCCTATTATATTCTGAATTTCTCTTAGAGAAATTTTTCAAGTAAGTACAAAATGAGGGTTTGAACTCAGACCTGTCCTGGTTTACTCTGTTTCCTGGCATCCCCTTTACCCAAAAAGTGAGATGTTAATCGGAAATGAAATTCTGTAACAAATCTATAGGAAATTTCCTCCAGAAGGAGATAAATGGTGCGCATTAATAGCATTTTAGGTTTTGGTGAATTCTACAAAAACAAGTAAATTTTTTTTTGCACAATGTAGCATTCCTCAACTTTATTTGATTCTTATCTTTTCAGTGCTAGAGATTGAAGCCAGTACTTCACATATACTAGGCAAGTGTTCCACCACTGAACTACATCCCAAAACTCAAGACCCCTTTTAGATAAATTTGTAATAATAGCTAGCTCTTTGGAATGTCAGTGGAAAACATTAAATTGTGTCACTATCTCTTTTACAATGATACCCTTCTGACAGGGAGAAAAATAAATATCATAGGTCACCTAGGTGCTTATTGAAGAAGGTGTATCTACTGGGAACACAGGACTGAGGCCAAGAAAATAAAGAAAATGCCAAAGGCCAATGTCACCTACTTGATATATTTTGCTTGGTATCGGTTCTGGTCTGAGCTCTCAGAGATATGATTAAAATAGCATTGTCATATTTGATCACATGCCTTGAATCAATGATTTCCTTATAAGCTTGTTCTAAGTTGAAAGGTCATTGCTAAATAAAATAAAATAGTTTGTCACAACCTAAGAGGAATCACATCACATGACAGAGATCAGGTTTTATAACATAAAAGCTATAATTCAATAATCTGCTAATATTCTGCATCAGAAATTCAGTGAGGTATGCATAACATATGTCAAGAAGTATTTTTCACTGTTTCATCAGGAGTCATTTCCTCCCATTTTAAAAATGTGGTTATATGCGAATTTATAATTTTTTTTTGGAGTATCACTCCCTTTATTGATAGATTCTCAGTTAACATATATGTTCAAGTATTTAATTCTTCTCATACTTATACAGATGATTTTGTAAAAACAAATTCAGCTCATTTTCTATAGGTGATAAACCACAGATAAGTTATTTGGTGATTGATATTAGAAAGAAAAATGTCTTAAACCTCATAAATCAAGTTATCACTTAAGATGTAGCATTATTACATCCCACTTAGTCTTGGTTCTTTTTAATTTTCGAGTTGCTTTAATTTTTGTAGTAGAAAACATGAATGCTAGAACCAGCTGAGACTGATGTACAGTGCTGTCTGCAGTTTCCTCGAAAACCAAGACCACATTTAGAGTCAGGAAGTTTTAGGCATATTTGTGACAATTTTCAATACTTTGTGTTTTTTTATTTCCAAATAAATATTTGGTTCCAAATGTTTTCCATAAAACATGTTCATGTTACCAAGCCTCAAATATCTAAAGCAGGCTCACCCACTAAACTGTCATTTGTTCAGTCAAATTGAATTAACTCTGAGCTGACTGAGAATTTGAGCAAATATGCACATACCGTGGTATGTGCACAGAAATGTCAAGGTCAAAACTTTATGAGAATCCTGGGGCCAGCCACCTACTGTGTGGATGTCATTGCCCACTGAGTCTATATATGGCTATATGCATGGCATACTCTGTGCATGAGGTCTGTGTGATTATTGAAAAGAACCACATTTTTTTTCTGCTAATGCTTGCACCTGTGGAGCAGAGATCAAAGTTACAAAATAAAAGGGCATGTCTTAGAATGTTGAAATATATATTTTGCATTGATAAAATTCAGTAGGAATGTGTTGGGTATGTATTGTGTACAAGGTATTGCTTCAAAAATTGTGGGTAGAAACATAACTAAAAGCAAGTTAGTTTATCAAAAGAAGAGTACACTCTTGAGAGTGTGTATGGAATGTTTGAGAAATAAGTAATTCTCAGGTATGTGGAAGGCTTTAGGGACGAAGTGTCATTTAGGTAAGATCTTAAGTGACTGTGATAGGCAAAAATTTGGAGAAGAGGTATGTCAGGCTGAGGGAGAGAGTGAGCAATGAAGAAACAGTAACTGGATGGAAAAATAGGTGGTGTACGGCCTTTTCCAGGCAACCAATTTAATTGTCCCCATACCTGTTGTTTCTAATTTTGATAATAGCTAACTTTCATTTTTAAATTACTCTATGCCAATGCAGAATCTTTTGCATGTTTTACCTTATGTAGTCCTCACAAGAACCTTAAGGAGGTATAGACAATAAATATCACTATTTCAAAGAACTTCAGACATGAAAAGAACAGAGACTTCCCCTAAGTCACAAAACTAATCTGTAGGAGAGTAAGGATTCTACTCTACATGTTCTAACTCGTGCCAAGGTATTTCAACAACACAGTGAGGCTCTTATTTCTGCCTATTTGTAAGGGATATGAATGAACTAAGTCACACAAAGAGCTGTATTTTTCCACAGTTTCACTTCAGCACACATTTTCAGGGTTCTCTACTTCACCAAGCACAGTAAAAGACACATTTAAAAATAACAAACAAATTATTGAGAGTGGCTCAAGCTCATCTTCTGGGAGTCCTACAAAATGGGTACAGAATTTATTGGGGTTATCACTAAGTTTTTTAGGTATGTCAGGGAAAATTGTGATAAAGCCAGAAAAAGGTGAAATTGAAGGCTTTGTTTGTTGATTTTGGGAATCTTAGCCTTCTCTTCTTTTTACAAAAAATTCTATCCTGTTTGACCATCATAACTTTGAATTTTTATTTTTTAATGACTTCTCTGTTTTTAACAAAATAGTAGAGGGAGCACAAAAGATGTCCTGGAAAACTCGTGACATCAGAGCCTTTTTTTCCATTGGTGGTGCTAGGTATGATCTGCATTAGTGGGGAACTACCCTCTCCTGGGCTCTGACACCAGGCCTTGGGGCATATGGTTACTACAGATGTTCCTTTCTCCCTAAGGCCCTTTGATTCAGGCTTGCAACAGATGACTGAGCGTTAAGATTACTTTGTGTTGGCTCATCTTGCCCTGGATATGTTTTCCCAAAGGCAGCAAGAAGAAGAGAACACATTTATTGTTGTTTTGTGTTGTATCCTTATCAGGATTCATTGTCTAACCTAGTACTTTTTCAAAGTAGCAGGACAGTGACCGCTGGCATTGACTGTACACTAGGGTAAGAGAGGAAGATTCAGGATAGGGGTGATCTGGCTCATTTTCATAGAAGTGAGTGGCTCCATCTGAGTGGCTGGATACAGGTCCTGGATAAGGCAGCAGTTAAGCTTAAATCCACTGTATCAGAGATCTAAGAGTTAATTCCCTAGCCTGCCACTTCCTAGTGTTTATTTGATATTGCAAGAAATTACTTAATAGCCCTACACTTTTCATTTTCACAAAAGAAATATCAGAGAGTAATTTTGAATACTGTAGCTAGTAAATCATTGGCTAGAAAATAGGTCCAATCTTTTTTTTTAACTGGAGAAGGAGAGATGTGCTTGTAGTATATCCATTTTCCTTATGAACACCTTACTGCAACAGAGATAGCACTATTTGCCTATAGCTACATATTGCCTCTCTAGACCTTGCCTGTAGTTATGAACTTCCTCCGAGTTCATATGACAATTTACCAGTTCATATAGTTCGTTCAAGAGTCTTATTTAAGTACTTGCTGACTTCAGCTATGCATGGGGCCTAATCTTCAAATATGAGAATATTACACAGCTCTAGGCCTGAGAGATTTTGGTAGATAATCTCTGTGTCTCTAGTTTTTAACTAGATATGAGAATTAGAGTTAATTCCATCAGCTGAAGTTTAAGCCTTTAGTTTCTCTAAACTAGAATTTACATTTAAACATCAATGGCTCCCACATTTTGCTTGATAACTTTGAAGATGATCAGTGAATGTGTCAACATGTGATTTATCTTAGGTAATCTCAGTTCACTTGTTAAGAATTTCCTAGAACTAAATTCTTATATCAGAGAAGTTTCTCTAATGGTCGAATTCAGTCACTATGATAAACCAATGGAGAGATTTTTTTATGTCAGTAGAGACTTTTATCACCCCTCAAATGGTAAAGAAGAATTGAAAAATGTATTAGAATGAGCACACCAGTGAAATTATAATGGACATTTTAAGACCACTAGCAAGGCTGAGCTATCATGTATTATATTTGAGAAGAAAGAGATTAAAGCTTTTAAGATGAAAGGAATTAATTCCCTATATTCTTTTCTCTTACTATTATTGTAAGTTGTTAAGGACAAAGAAAGAAGATGGTACAATAGCATCAATGCTATTACAAACCAGGAAGGAGCCAATATTTGGTCATCTAGTAAGATTACTAGAAAGAAATAGTATGAGTATTTTGTATCAAAATTTCAGTTGTCAGGAAGAGACTGAATTGATTTCATTAATATTCCTCTTTTATTTTGCTGTTGTTGTTGTTTGAGACAGGGTGTCCTGTTTAGCCCAGGCTGGCCTGGAATTTGCAACCCCTCTGCCTCAGCCTCCTGAGAATGCTGGAATTACACTACCACATCTGGCTCATTGATATTCATTAAAATGCTACTTCCTTTGGTCCTTCTTATTATTGTTTATACACTCTCTTCAACAAAATTAGAGATAAGGGCAAAACAGTTTCTGTCTGGAAGCGAGGGGCTGGGGGGGGAGAGAGAGGGGGTGGGGGAAAGGGAGGATGCAGGGGGAAGGGGAGAGAAATGACCCAAACATTGTATGCACATATGAATAAAAGGTATATTTTTTTTTCAAAAAAAAGAAAAGAACTAAACCTGAGAAGCAATTACTATTTCAGATTTTGGGTTTTATGAAAGATTTACCAGAGAGATGACATCAAGTTGCATCTTAATGGGGAGATGCAAGACTACTTCCAAACTCACTTCAGAACAAAGGATGGTATGCAAGGCTTAGCAAAATATAACAAAATTGAGTGTTATTTTGGAACTGAATTTCAAGGAAAAAAACTGAATGAA